TAATGGAAACACCACAGTTGCGAAACTGTGTTTTTTTCGACATTAACAGAATATCAACAATTTTGCGCACATTTGCAATGGAAACGCAGCTATAGACATGTTTGGTATCTACAGAAACACTGGAATCTTGGCTACAAGCTGGTAAAAACATTTCTATGAACATCCAAGACAATTAAAACTACAAGCAGTTGAAGATAATACTATGAACATGAAAATAAAATTGGTTTCAAAATTTGTCAAGTCAGAGATTTCAAAATAATATTTGAGTTAAATAGGAGGCTTAATGTGTTCTTTTTGTTTTTGAGATTGCTTTATTATCACTACTTGTATTATATAAGGTTCTGTATGTTATATTCATGATTAAATGCAGCAAAATGAAGTATTTCAAAGGTAACTGATCTTTATAATACTTGTACATAATGACTTTAATTGCTGGATATTAGGCCCCTGTGCTGTTGACATGCATTAACTGTGGCAGTTTAGCTGAACAGTTAGAGCAAGAGAAATATGCTCTCCTGGTAAAAGAGATTGTAGGTCAGGTGCGGCAAAAGATACGTGGCWTCAGGTAACACGCCTCCAGAGGAGAAAACTAGYGACGTACAGTCGAGCCGCGGCAAGAAAAGCCCTTCCAGCGCACCAAATCAACCATAAAGGCCAGTGTCAGTGTGCAGAAAGGCAGAGCCGCTCAGATTTAGCAGATACGGCTGCAAAGAGTTGAACAACGAGGGCTGCAAAACCGAATCAGAGGACGGACTCTTTATTAAGTGATTGGGTTGCAATTCAAAGCCTCGGCGCAAAGCAGCAGCTCGTGAATGGTCTCCAAATCAGTGCGAAACAGTTTTGCTGTAGCGGGTGAGGAGGAAGCACCCGAAGCAGCAATAATCCCTCTGTGCAGTGGAACCTGTGTTCGATCTTAACTCCATGGGGAAATTAGAATAAAGTAATTTTATTCGAGGAGATGCAGCTGAGTTTTGAGTTCTGTTGGGGCTTAACGGGCACACATTCAAACTAGGGCATCACGATAACCACCTGTGCGAAAGGCATCAACTGTGGTAAATGGTTGGCTCGAGTGTTTCCATTTACGTGTTTTGTCAATCACACAGAAGCTACAGTTACAACGGCTGAGAGCAAAACGAGTGAGGAAAATGTTAGAGACAAAGAATCCAACACGTCTCTATCTGGAGATATTTTGGTTTTAAAGAGACTGCGTTCTACAGACCCAGGTTCTCTGCAAGACACGCCGAAAGCTAGTGGCAACCGCAAAAGAAAAAAACGCAACTTAATTCCATCGTCATCTTCCATACAACCGTACAGACTTGTTTGATAAGTTCCAGGAAACAAGTGCTGGGAACACGAACGTTGCAAATGTTGACAAGTGTTTGAATGGAAATGATACATTAGTTGTTTTATAGGTGGTTAAGAAATTTTTGAATCAGTAGTTTTATTTTTGGCACAACTGATTCCAGTGAAAAAACATCCTCTCAATCATAAAGCACGGTGATGGTAGTACCATGGTTCAGACATCTTTTAATTCTCAAGAAAATGTACTTTTTGTAAGTATTTTTGTCCTGCATTGTGCCTACTTTACTTAAGAAAATAATCAGATTATTTTAGTTGCTGCAAAGGAAGTGAAGCAGAGGGTGTGAACCTACCAGCTGCAGCTGTGTGATGTACTTCTTCCACCAGAGGTACGGCCGGAGGGCGGGGACAGACGAGAGGCCGTAGTAGGAATACATCACGACGTGGACGAAGCTGTTGAGGGAGGCACCGAAGTACGCTGAGAAAACACGGAGACGCACCAAGTTATTTATCTGCTGGACCCAGATCGGTTATTAAATTGTTTTCGGTGAGCCCCGCTGCAGTTTAAATGAAGATCACCKATGCACAGCAAGTAAAAACTGGACTTCGGCACGATGGTTGTACAGAGACACGTTCGTATTTTCAAGAACGCTCTCGGTGTCATAATGCCGACTGTTCTTTCACATTAAAACACTGCTTAGGTTTACGTAAAACTTTGTGTCCTTTTAGGGCTTTTATAGAAAACAAAAGATGTTTTTAGGCTCGTGTTTCCTGCTGGGAAAGCTTGAATTATTTAATTCAAAGTGTAAAAGTGGAGGGAGAGGCACTCACAGTGGCCACAGGGTATCCAGTTCATGACAAACCACCAGATGTTCAGCATGCTGGCGTGGTGGTAGACGTGAAGGAACGTGACCTGGTGGGTGTTCTTTCTCAAGATGAAGAAAAACGTGTCCATGAACTCGAGAAGCTTGGAGAAGTAGTACCACCACAGGACATTGATGACCTGGGGGTGTGTGTGTGGGGGGATAAAATAGGAAATTTTTGCATTTTTAAAGGAAAAATATGTCAAAAATGTGAGWGTGTGTGACTAACTGACCTTTTTATCCACTTCTGGTTTGCTGTACGTGTTCTGGCAGAAGAAGTTGTAGCCACCGTACCACACGGTTGTAACAAGCTGCAAACAAAGATGATAAAACAAACGATATGCAGTGTTGTATAAAGTACCTCAAAGTGATACTTGAGTAAAAGTACAAGTATCTTATCATAAAAATACTTTAGTAAAAGTTAAAGTCTTCTCTAAAAATATTACTTGAGTAAAAGTCTTAAAGTATCTGATGTTTTTTGTACTTAAGTATCAAAAGTAAATTTCTGACACAAAATCTACTTAAGTGTTAAAAGTAAAAGTACTGAGTAAAAGTGAGCAGTTAGATTTTCCAAAAAGACATTTATTGGGGGGTGACTTCTCCAAAAAATACTTTTCCTAATGGCGCGTGCAGCTGTGATGGGTTGTGTACAAGATAATAGGGTGTCAGAATGGTATATATTTATACTTCTCATCAAACCACAATTAAATTCACTCTATCCAGGAGACACAATTTATCAGGATAGTATTTTTTAAGCAATAACAACTCGGATTAAAATAGGAGTAACGACTTTCTACTTCTTACCTTTTTAAAAAATGTAGTGAGTAGAAAGTACAGATAATTGTGTAATGAGTAAAAGTAAAAAGTACGCTGAAAATAATTACTCAAGTAAAGTACAGATAACCAAAATTTCTACTTAAGTACAGTAACAAAGTATTTGTACTTAGTTACTTTGCATCTCTGACTATATGTTTGTTAAAAAGAAACAAAGAAGCACGTCTTAGATAATAATAAGGGGGAAAAAAACCCTGATATGGTCCAACATCTGCTGTGTCAGGTTGCACTGAAGTTTTAAAAGATAAAACCTTTACAGCTCTTACTAAACTGGCCTCTGAGGAATTCAAACCACTGGACCTTTGTATCTCTACTGTTTAACATACAGCCTCTCAGATTAGTTATTATAATCTGAGCCGAAAGTGAAAGGCGATAATAAAGTTTTTTGGACGTGTTTGTCTCTCTCTGTGTATTCAGTTCACAAAACGTGTCTGAAAAATGACATCAATATAGTAAATATTTGGTGAGAATGATCAGTTCACCCATACTTTTATTACCAATTCAGGTTATTATTAAGAGAATATTTTATACAGATGTTTATAACGGATCATTKTATGACATTTTTTGGTGGTTCAGATAAGAAACAGAAAAAGTTCATTCYTCTGTGGTCTGAGCCAATAAACTGTCGTCACATAAAGTATCTGAGTTGGCTTTTTTAACATTAAGTATTTATTATACTCACACTGACATTAGCTTATCTAATGCTCAACAGGCCCATCTCTTTCATAATAGTTCATACAGTGGGTCTATACAGTAGATAAAATGACTCACTGTTAGATTATTGAGTGTGACCTGGCAGAGTGTCAGACAGCAGAGGACTGCTGTGTACTTTGATTCCCATCAGGTGACATCGACTGCAGAGCTAAAAGTTCACCCCGCGGCTCAGACATCTGCAGAGTTCATGGTTTAATGAATCAAAAGGACCTTACGCAACACACACAGGGCAGGAAGCTCATGCTACCAGCTGGATGAKGCTTGAGGTTTCCACGTGCATGGAAGTAAACCCAACAACAACCTATTAATGATGAATTACATTTAGCCCTGCTGCTAATTACTCAAGCAGCAAATCCAGCTCAGGCCTTCCAGAGTTGCTTCAACTTCCCTTAATAACTGTTTTTAAAGAGACTACATGCTGCAGCCTGTAATATATGAGGGATTTAATTGGTAATAAGATGAGCCTGTCAGCATTCAGCAGTGATCCTCTAAGTACATATGCACATATTTTAAGTCTGTCTGGTGACATTGGATAAAAAAAGTATATTGTGGCCATGGGATAAATAATACATGGATACGCGATAATTATGTTGTGGCCACAAGATAATTATTGCAGTCATTCCCATGCAGAGACTGTTGATTGTTTACATGGACAAATTACAATTAATTTTATTTTATTTTATTATAGGAATGAATAACATAGTTCAGTTACTTACATTAGGTTTGATGCAATTCTTAGCATTGTAAGACACACATSATGACTGGAGTTCTATTTGTTCGTAAAGATTTATTTATTTGTTTATTTTTTGCGTTAGGAACACAGTAAAATATCTGTTTCCTAACACACAACTAGGGCGTTTATTATCATCACATAAATAGCCTACTATGAAAAACRAACCAAATAATAATAATTATTAAAATAAGTGTGGGGTAGGCTAGCTTTGAACAGTTCAAAACAAAAACAACTTACTCGAAATCTGACACCAAAAATATCTGTATCGCTGTACGCATTGTGCGGCCACGCATTACTTAACTTGTGGCCATGGGTTAAAAAAATTATCCAACGTCACCARATAAAAACTTTATTTTTGGCAGTGCAGCTTTTCTAGCATATAGAATTATTTTGAGTARTACCACTTTTTAACAACTTACAATGATTTCTTTCAGCCACATCACCTTTTATACTAGCACATTATTTTAGCTGTAGCATTCATGGAAACTCATCTTAGGCGGCACAGCTTTAGGGTAATTTCCAGACCTGGACCCCAATTTCCATCTGCTTCTGTCAGCTGACAGAAACTACCAGATAATACAAAAGTTTTGGGACCTTGAAAGCCAGTATGTTGAATGAAGAAAACTTGTCAGTSTAACTTTGCTCGAGAAAAACTTTTCAATCTTGGTGAATTTTAATTCCCAGAATTCATCCTAAGGACAGACACTCTTAATTTAAAACATGATGTCCTTGAATTTTGACAAACTGTTTTTGCATCAGAAATAGTGATAACTAAAAAGATTGTTGGAGAGCATTTTATCTGAACTTGAAGATGATCCTGATCCTGTCAAACTGACCAACTTGTAAGTTAACCCTGTCTAAAGCTAGATAATACCAGTGATTTTTATTTTTCGTCTGTGTCTGCTGTGTCTGCAGAGCGATTTCGCTCTGATTGTTTTGGTTCCCAGATGTCTGTTTACCTCGAAGCTCATGTAGAAGGACAAAAGRGTGATGCCCAGATTGTAGATCACCATGAGGCCTCTGCAGGAGTAAGGCTGTCTGTGTTTCATGTACCTGGGTCCCATCCACACGATCAGGAGGTACACAACTGTGAGTGCAATGGTTGGTGGGTAATTGTCGAGCAGGAGCATTCCCTGCACCCGCTTATCTGAAATACAGAGATTAAAAAAAAGGATCACAAACAAATGAGTTGAAGAAGAAAAGGTTAGTGGGTAAAAAGTCAAATAGAGGTTTATGCTCACCTCTGGGACCCATCCATGAGTCGAAGTATGTGTTCAGTTTCTGATTCAGGGCCTCCATTTTTCACCTATAAAAATGATGGGAAAATAACTTGGTTATCTAAAATATAAATCTATTAACAGCAAATTTATGAGGCGCCAAGTGTTTTCATTATCTAGCTCACTTTCTGATAAAAAAAATCCACTAACATTTTATAATTTAGCTCACTGGTCTCACATTTTGCTGATTTCTTTTCTAAATGTTGAAYTTAAATATTAAAAAGTGTATGTAAATATTAAATTCTGAATCTAAATCTAAAAGTAAATGTTAAATCTTAAATTTTGCAGTTTACATGTAAGTATTTCGGAGTGGAACAGCCTTTGCTGTTGGTGCTCGGTTCTTGTGAGGGCGTCAACATCCTGAGACAATAGCAACCGCTAACGCTTAAATTCAGCAAACACTTCCCTAAAAGACATCAAACTTCCATTTGCGGCCGCTGTCTGAGCTGCTCTTCAAACTTCCAGACCACATTGTTTTCAATGAACACATTTTGATTTTTAATCTTCGGCAGAGTTAGAAGCATTAGCAGCTGCTAACATCATTTGTCGCAGTATGATGAGATCATCCTGGTTAGCCAATGCTAACTGCTGCTAACACTGCTGAAGATGGAATTAAAAATTTAAATTCAAAATGTGTTCATTGGAAAATAATATAGATGGTAGACRGTTTTAAGTGCAGCTCAGACACCGGCTGCCACTGCCGGTTTAATGTTTTAAGGAAGCATTAGCTGCGTTCAAACCGTTAGCCGTTGCTTTTGTCTCAGGATGATGATCCAAAGATAGGAAATCAGTYACGGCGAGCTCTCTCTCTGCTTTACTTTGCTCCCGGTTACCATTTAATCAACCCATCTCAACTTATACTTCAAATCCGGTTGTAACTCACACACTAAAAATCTGGAATCAGTGCAGATGGTTGTTTAAAAGTACAGAATTATTGTTGTCTGCTCCAGTGTCAAATAACCACATGTTTGCTCCTTCACTAATGGACTCTGTTTTCAATACCTGGAGTTTAAAGGGAAAAACCTCTCTAAATGATCTTTATATAGACAATAAGTTTGCCTCATTTGAACAGTTAGCACGACATTTGACATCCATAAGTCACAGTTCTTCAGGTATTTACAACTGAGACATTTTGTAATGTCAAACTCTGGATGTTTTCCTCTACGCCCCCAACTTCTCTTATAGATGAGATTCTGATGTGTAAGTCTGTAACAAAACGCTC